GAATTATGTAGGGCCTGGAACGAGGACCATCCTAATGGTACTGGAAAAAATCTCCACCTCCCTAAAAGGAAAATTTAGCAAAATATGATTTGGGATGTTCTAGACCTAGACTTTCCCATAATTTAAGAACCAGTGGACCATCTTAAGTTCTCCTGGAGAATCATTATTAAAATAAGTTGTTTAAAAACCGTATCTACATATAATTAAATAACAGGGCTTTTTGTTGTTTTTACTCACGAGATAGCTTCTGATTTTTATGGCTATGTCCTACGCTTTACAACCTAGAAATCTTATTTTATGCCCATCAAGAAGCATGGGTTTAAAACAATAATTTCAACTGCTTCACATTTTTGACATTTGTAACTTTAGAGGAATCTCTTTGTAATTAATCTCTCTTGTTATGGACATTTATTTTCCCTCCATTTTGTAAAATTAAAATGTTTTAGCGGAGTGGTAGATAGAAGGGCGGTTTTTATTTTCTTCTGCACACTTCTCAAGATTCCTACCATGCTTACGGGTCTGCAGGCGGAGGGAAACCCGCGTAAGGAAGACTTCTGTAAACCAATGGGAAGCCACAGGAAAGCCAGGAAGCCAGGGGCGAGCAAGCGGCTGAGACTCCGCCCCCCGCCCGCCACCCAGTCGGGGAAGGAGCCGCTCGCGGACCCGTAACCCAGAGGAGCTCGATCGCGCCGTCGGCTCAGCGGGGCTTCCAAGAGGAGACCTGGGTCTGGGACTCGGGGCGGACGGGAAGCGAACCCAGTGCTGCAGGGACCCTACCTCCCGCCATGAGGACACTAGGGGCGTTCATTTTCCGAGTCAAACGAGTACGTCCCCACCGTTCAGTCCTCCTCCACTGACTTCCGGTTCCTGTGTGCATTCCCCAAAAGAGCCCGGCCTTTCCGCAGAACGATTCTGGCCGCAGCGGCGTTCCGGGCCCGCCCAGGTGTGGAACCCGGAGCGGTGCAGGGGGATGAAATATCTCTGAACTTTTGGATCATGCCCAAATACTATTTAAGGCCATCAGCTATCAAAATTCCGCGATCCCGAGCCCTGGGTGGTCCGCAGACTTACTCCACTGCCTCCGGGAACGTGGAGGGAAGGAAACGGGTGAGGCGCCTAATGTGCTTGAATGCAGGGGGGTAGGGGTGGGCGCCCACCAGGTACCCGGAGCCGCGGAGGTGTTGGTGCCGTAGGACTGGAGGTGTCTGTCCATGGCGAACCTTTGGAGCTCTGCGTGTCAGCATTTTGAAAAACCCTAACTTAACTCTGGTGCCCTGTCACATATAGACATTTTTTGATATTTGCAACCATAGTAAAACAAAGACTTATATTTTTGATATTTATTTTATATATTTAAATGCCATTTAACAGAAAAATCAACCAAAAAAATGAGTTTGCGTGTCACCCCTGACACGCGTGTCATAGGTTCGCCATCACTGGAACAGCTCTAGACTAGAGAACCGGCCATAGGTGGACGGTGAGACTGGATGAGGTGAGGGAGCCGGGAGCAGGGGAGGAGCTGGGGAGCCAGTGTGTCTTCCCCAGGGACTGGCAACCCTAGGAGATCGGAGGAGAACGGCAAGGATTCTTTCTAGGAAATGGGGAGACTACAGTGGTTCTCAACCTTCCTACTGCCACGACCCTTTAATACAGTTCCTCATGTTGTGGTGACCCCCAACCATAAAATTATTTTCATTGCTACTTCATAACTGTAATTTTGCTACTGTTATGAATTGTAATATAAATATCTGATATGCAGGATTTATTTTCATTGTTACAAATTGAACATAATTAAAGCATAGTGATTAGTCACAAAAACAATATGTAATTATAGATGTGTTTTCCGATGGTCTTAGGTGACCCCTGTGAAAGGGTCGTTTGACCCCAAAGGGGTCGCGACGCACAGGTTGAGAACCACTAGTTTAGCTAGTTTTGTGAAAAACGGACGTCAGGAGGAAGGTGGCTTTTGGAGGCAAAGCTGGTGCATTTGTGTTTTTACAAGAGGGCAGTCGGGGTGGATAGTGTCCAGGGGGCCGTGGGGATGTGAGGGATTCTAAGTGTTCATAAGGAGTACTCATGGGAATTCTACAAAGCCAGCCGGTTTCTGGGGAACGTAGGAATCTAACAAGAAATAAAGTAAACTTTTTGTGCTAAAGCCTCCAAATCAATAGGAAATAGTTTTCTTTTAACTCCAGGGCTTATACCGCGGAATGAGGTATTAGGCGTTGAATTGTATCCCTCAAAAAAGAGATGAGGAAGTCTGACTCCTCAGAATATGACCTCATTTCCAAATAGGGTCATTGCAGATGTAATTAGTTAAACTTAAAAAAGAGGTCACACTGGGGTGTGGGTGGGGGCTGGCTAATTCAATATGACTGGTGTCCTTATAAGAAGATCAGCCCTAACCCGTTGGGCTCAGTGGATATAGTGTTGACCTGTGGACTGAAGGGTCCCGGGTTCGAATTCGGTCAAGGGTACGGGCACGTATCTGGGTTGCAGGCTCCTCCTGGGCCCAGGCCCTGGTCCGGGCTGGTGTACCAGGCAACCCATCGGTGTGTTTCTCTCACATCGATATTTCTCTCTGTCTTTCCCTCTCTCTTCCCCTCTCTCTAAAAATCAATGGAAAAATATCCTCGGGTGAGAATTAAAAAAAGAAAAAAAGAAGAAGAAGATGAGTGCCATGTGAAGATGGAGCCCAAAATTGAAGTGATGCACATACAAACCACGGAAAGCCAAGGATGGCCAGCACAAGCTGAGAGAGGCGTGGAACGGGTTCACTCTCAGAAGGAACCAACCCTGCCAACACCTCTACTTCAGACTTCCAGCCTCCAGAGCTGAGAGAGAATAACTTTCTGTTGTTTTAAGCCACCAGGTTTGTGGTGATTTGTTACAGCAGCCACGGGAGACAAATGCCTGAGGCCAGAAGGAGCCTGGCAATGGATGCTTTCAGAGGTGAGGTGGTCCGCTCTCAAGGTGCAACAAGTCACTTGCTACCTGCACAACCTGAGATTCTCATCCTCTCCGAGCCTCAGCTTCCTCATTTGTGAAATGGACGTAATGGTGTCTGCCTCTCATTTCTACTAAGAGGATGTCTCGTTAGAAACTGGATGTAGAGGACATGACTTATAATAAGGGTTCAAGAAATGTTAGTTCCTCATTAAAGCATGATCTCTTCTGGGGAGCCAATTATTATTTTTAAATATATATATTTTTATTGATTTCAGAGAGGAAGGGGAAGGGAGAGAGATAGAAACATCAAAGGTGAGAGAAGCATTGATCAGCGGCCTCCTGCACGCCCCCTGCTGGGGTTTAAGCCTGCAACCCGAGGACGTGCCCTTGACCGGAATTGAACCCAGAGGAGCCCCCTGATTTGCTTCAGTCTGTGGGCCAACGCTCTGTCCACTGAGCTAAACCAGCTAGGGCTGGGGAGCCAGTTATTAACGAGCTTGCGGGGAAACCCTCGCTCCCTGGAGCATTCATTCAGAAGTACTTTGACCAGAGGCTGGAAGTGGTAGGGGAAGAGGTTCCACTGTGCCTGATTTACTGTAAACCAGAATCTGTTCAAAATGAAAGTCGTCATCTTCCCCAGAAACCAGCTCCTTCTCACTTCCCTGGTTTTGTTGCCCACATGCACACGCCCCTGCTTCTCCCACCCCTTTTGTCATTATGTCTAGCTTGTCATCTACTTACTGTGTTTTTTAAAGGTTTTTGACCATAATGTACATGGGAAACAATTGCTTCATTAAACTTGGGTTTACACATATGATGCACTTTGATATTTTCTATTTCGTGATTTTTTTTAAAAAAACCACACATCCATTTTTGCAAGACATCAGATGGCTAGTAGATAGAGGTGTAAGTCTGAAACTAAAGGAGAAGACAGTGCTGGGTAGAGATTTGGAGGCCATCAGCACATAGCGATGGCACTTCATTCCATAAAAATGTGCGCCCGACCTGTGTGGCTCAGATGGTTGAGCGTCGACTTATGAACCAGGAGGTCATGGTTTGATTCTCGGTCAGGATTCATGCCCGGGTTGCAGTCTCGATCCCCGGTAGGGGCCGCATAAGAGGCTGCCGATCGATGATTCTCATCATTGATATTTCTATCTCTCCCTCTCCCTTCATCTCTGAAATCAATGAAAATGTATTTGAAAAAGAAATGTGTGGGATGAGCCAGGGAGAGGGGTAGTGTGGGAAAAGCACAGTGCGTGAGGGAGAGAACTCAGAGCAGCAGTATTGGGGGTGAGTGGAGGATTCGAATCCCACACCATCTCACCTCTGTCACTTGGCACCTGCTGGTCCTTTACCCTCAAACGCTCTCTCCTCACAATGGTCTGAATTCTGCTCACGTTTTCAGTGCTAACAAGGGTACCTCCTGCCCGGAGAAGCCTCCCGTCTTCAAAGCCAGAAGCATCCTTTCCCCTCACTCATATGTATCTTCCTCATAATATGTATTGTCTTGAACTATAGGGCTTTTTGTCTTGTTTTGATTTTGACTACATGTCTTTGTCCCTGTATTTAACTATACATTTCCCCCAAAGTGATTTGGAAGCTACCAACTAGAATATATTTTAAAATATCCATTCCTGGTGTCTCAACATCCCCGCTGGAGACAGAGGAGCCCAGTGATTTGGGTCGCTCTGTGTTCTAAGCCTGTGTTCCAGCTTCGGAGTGCCAACAGTGTGAACTGGGGCAAGGGATGTCACCTCTCTGAGCCTCTCCAGACCCTCAGAGTGCACAGTGCATGAGGGAGACAGGGCGAATTATATCCCCTACAACACCCAGCACGTCGGGAGGTTCACTAAGTGTTTGTTGGAAAAAGTAAATTAATGATTACATATATTATATCCGAAAGGTTAATTTTTGTTTGGGATAAACATTGAAAATTTGTGCTCCACAACTTCATGACCTTGACCTAGTCAAACATTTCTAAAACTTGACATAAAAGCATTAACTATAGCCTGGCTGTTTGCTCAGAGCATCGGCTGGGACTGAGGGGTTGTGGGTTCCATTCCAGTCAAGGGCATGTGCCTTGAGTTTGGGAAGCAACCAGTTAATGTGTCCATCTCACACAGATGCCTCTCTCTCTCTCTCTCTCTCTCTCTCTCTCTCTCTCTCTCTCTCTCTCTCTCTCTCTCTCTCTCTCTCTCTCTCCCCTCCTCCTCCCTTCTCTCTGAAAATCAATGGAAAAAAATATCCTCAGGTGAGGATTAAAAGTACAAAAAACTCTAGTTCAATAGGGTAGCACCCCAATGTTCAAATCAAATTTCCAACAGATGTCACCCTATTCCCTTCGGTTGTGGTTGTGACTAAACCTCTGCGACTGACGTTACTGAGTGCTTCACCTAATGATATAAGATGTAAATACTTCATCATCTTGTGTTTTTATCCAAGGCATTTTATGGTTCTTCCGATTTCACAAGTGGACTTTTCAACTATGTAGATCTCTGTTGGGTTGTGTTTTATTCAGAACGCAAGCTCCCATATGTTGGGCTGCCTGTGTAATGAGGCTTTCAAGTTCTCATTTCAACCAAAATTGTTTTTAATGTGGCAAAACTCACATAGCATAGAATACACTATTTTAGCCCTTTTAAAGTGTATTTATTCATTGGCATTTAGTACATTCACAGTGTTGTGCAGCGATCAGCACTATCTTGCTTTTAGAACATTTTCAACACCCTGGACCAAAAGGAAACCTGTACCATTTAGCAGTCACTCTCCAGCCTCCTTCCCCCAGCCCTGGGCAGCCACTAATCTGCTGCCTCTCTCTATGGATTTGCCTTTCCTGGGCACGGCACATACATGGGATACGCGACATTTTTCAGGCCCATTACCTGCACCAACAGTACAAAGAGGAATGTGACAATCTGCTCTCAACGAGATCACTGCCAACTGGGACGAAACAGATTGAAAAGATTTTTTTAAATTG